AAATTCCCTTTGACATACTTCTGTTCCAAGGCTCAGTTCAGGTGATACCTCTTTTAGATAATCTTTCTTTCTGCCTCCACATCTAGTTCAAGAAGCACTTACTTCTCTGTGCCCACTACATCTTCTCTTTCTAGTTTAGTGTTGACTGCTCTGTATTGAAATTATGGGACTGATGTCTCTCTGTTCCACTACTGTGAGACATATGAAAGGCACACAGGAGCACTCAAATATTTATTCAGTAAATAAATATCAAGATGATTTAAAGCAAAAATGTAATAATTATTAAATAGTGAATCAGTTTCTTATTTTATACTAACAACTCCAAAAATACTTATTTGTTTATATAGTTATAGTGGATGGGTCCAAGCTATCTATTAATGAAATGTCTGTCTGTATTTTTTTTTTCACAGAGAAAAAATTAAAATTTTTCTTCAGATTCAACCAACTCTTTTTTTAAGTGAACAAGGAATCTTTAAAAGTTCCCAGTGACAGCCCAAATAGGGCAAACTGTAGATTTGCAGGTTCTTTTCTCCAACTAGAAAACCTAAATTTGTAGTGACTATGAAAACTGTTCTTTCCCCCCCACAAATAGAACTTTGATACCTAATTGAAAGATCCCTACGTATAGGAGACTGGAAGGAACTAGGGACTGTGTTCTGAATTTTTATTTTCTTGCCCCCACCTTCATTTGGGATGTTTAGTGATGGGGTAGCTTTTGCCTTGCTTCAGCTAATTGTAATTTGTGAATTATTTTATCTTTGTTTCCAGGCCTAAACAGTTAATGACATCAGTAACATTTAAAAAATCTTTTTCCCATCTTTTATTTAATGATCAGTAAGGATAACTGCCAGTCATTCAGTTCATACCAATCTTGTGAATCATTCACCTGTTTTCATTCAAATAATGTCATTTTTTAGAAGTGTCCTCTGAGGAATTCCATGTGTGGCTTCTGTAAATGAATTTCTATAGTGGTATATGCCATGGAGTAGCAGTGGTATGTGAGTGGAGGTAAAATCCTATGATTTTTACTAATGTCTATTTAAATTCTACATTTGCAAGTGAAATTTTGAGGGTACCTGTTCCTAATTTCAGTTCTGCCACACCACCCAAGGCCTTCATTTCAGGTGGTGGTAATCTATGAAACTGAGTGGAGTCGGTACTTAGAATGTGCAACTGATCAGGAAGTTGGAACCTGTAATCCAGTTGAGACAGATCCCCTTTGTTTTAAATACCTTTTAGCCAGGCAAGTTTTAGATTGCCTTGGTTGTCAGTATCATTTTGGTCAAGTGAGCAGCTATACTCTCCATTTCCTAAATCTGGCCTTCATCACAGTCTGAAAAGCAGGTTTTGATAAAAATCAGTTTTCAAAATGTAATTTGTGTAACCTGAGCCCTTGGAATGGGTAAAATGCCCTTCTTGGGGTAGGGGAAGGTATTTTTACAATAGCAGGGCTGAGTAGAGGTATGAGCCTAAGAGGCCTTTTTATAACAGGTTTTGGTGTTTATTTAACCAAAATAAAGTGGAACTGGTTGTTAATATGAGGGTGTGTAGTTCTCATAGGGTAGTGAGAATACATAGTTAGCTCTTTGTTTCACAAATTTTGTTATGACTTCTGTTTCTTTAAAAAAAAAAAAAAAAAAAAAAAAGGAGCAGCAGCACTGAGGCTGTCATCAGACTTGATACCTCCTGTACATCCTTCTCTTTTCCCATCCTCATAGGAGGTAGTTTGGTATAATGGGAAGTCTGAGTCTGTCTTTGGAAAAGTAGTAAAGTTGAAATGCAGTTCTATCACTAACTTGCTGTGCAACCTTGGGTGAATCACTTTACTTTTCTGACTCTGGGCAAGTCACTTAATTTTTTCTTAATAAAAATAAACATTTTTATTTTTCTTACCTATTTTAACTTGTTTTACTTTTCATGCAAGTTTTTATTTTGAAAACATGCCTGGATTACATTTCATTCTTTTAAAAGTTTTTGTTTCTGTGTTTATCTCCTTTAAATGCATATGAATCTCTCCTATGTTAATAAAAAATAAAATAAGTTTGGGCCGGCCCGGTAGTGCGCCACTTGGGAGCGTGGTGGCGCTCCCGCTGAGGGCTCGGATCCCATGTGGAGACCGGTTCCCGCTCATTGGCTGAGCGTGGTGCGGGCGTGACACCGAGGGTTGCGATCCCATTACCAGTCAGTAAAAAAAAAAAAAAAAAAAAAAAGACTAAAATAAGTAAAATAAAATAAGTTAATAAAACCCAAGCATTTGCTTGAATCTGTTGCTGCTTCCTACAAACTGTTTCTTTGTCACTATTTGAACGTATTGTTATCTATATCTAATTGTTTTATTTCTTTACCAGTCACTTATTTTTAACTCAGTATAATTTTTGTCCTAATCAGTTCACTGATAGTGTTCTCAGTAGTGACCTTTGAGCCTTTTCTTAGTCCTTACACTTTTTGGTCTGTTACATTTGGCAGTGCTGTCTTCTTTGTGAAACCCTTTTTGTCGGGACCCCATGGGCGCCTGAACAGGGACACACCCTGGCAATATGGCACCCTTCCTGGTTCTTCTCCGCAGTTAACAAGCTCGCTGGTGCCAACACCCAAGCCCACCCGTGCCAAACTTCAGCCAGTCACAGGTCAAGGCTCACCTCCTGCCCAGCCCCGTCCAATCAGTTACCGCCCCTTCCACTCTCTCTCCCGCCCGGAGCACAGCACCCTATAAATTTACGCGCAGTCCTTGAATAAAGCGGAACTTCTCTGGCGAACTGTTAGCCCGGGTCTCGCGTACTTCCTTCGTCCGTGCATCCCCTTCACTTTTGTTCCTTATCCTTCTGATAATTATGAATTTATTTTCCATTTTTTTCTTCTTTGACCATGTCATCTCACTTTACTTCCCTAACTTTTCTCCTTCTTCTCTCTATGTCTTGGTTTTATTCTGCTGCTGCTTCTCCACACATCCCCTCTTCCCTTGGAGTTCTGATCTGTTCCCATAACTCCAGCTCCTCCATGTGTCGATAACTCCCAAATCCTTCATTCTAGCCCTAACTGCTGTTCCCTAAATAGCTGCCTTTAGAGTATTTCTGCTCAACTCTCCCATTGTCCTCTCTTAAACTAAAGCCATTGATTTTTGCCACTCACTCAGCTTTTGCTTTCCACTTTTCTGTTAGTGATACCACATTTCTCACAGCCACCTTGGTTTAGAGCCTCGAGTTCTTTTTTTTTGGGGGGGGGGAGATGTTAAGATGGAAATGTTTATTAGTGAAAGGGTGCACGGATGAAGGAAGCACGTGAGACCTGGGCTGACAGTTCACCAGAGAAGTTCCACTTTATTCAAGGACTGCGCAGTATATTTATAGGGAGCTGCATTCCGGGTTTGGATAGGGGGTGGATGGGGCTGGGCGGGGGGTGAGCCTTCACCTGTGACTGGTTGAGGTTTGGCGCCGGCGGGCTTTTACTGCGGAGAAGAACCCGGAAGGGTGCCATATTGCCAGGGAGTGCCTTCCCCCTCCCCCTCCGCTTGAGTGCCCACGGTATCCTTACCATTAGATATCCAAAATACCAAATAAGAAATTGGATGGTTACAGTTCAAGAGAGATGGGATGGAGACAGAAATCTGAGTCTTCAACATAAATGATATTTAAACCCACAAAACATAGGTGGTCTCATCAAGTCAATGAGTGTAGAGAAATCCAAGAACAAAATCTTGGAAAAAGAGGAGGAAACAGCAAGAGACTGAGAAGCAAGATAGCACACCCTTGCATAATGGAAGCTAAGTAAAGAAAATGGTTCAAGGAAGGAACAGTCAACCCTGTCAAACAGTACTGAACATCCAAGGAGGAAGAGGACTGGACACCATTGCTGACCTTGACATGTAGTTTCACTGGAATGACAAGCCTGGAGTGTTTAACAGTAAAAAATGGAAAAGCTTGTCAATTCCTTTGAGGAATTCTACTATTTAAACAAAACAAAACAAAACAAAACAAACAAAAAGCAGAGAGAAATGGAACAGTAACCAGAAATAGAAATGGACTGGGATCCTGAGTCACAGGAGATTTTTTTCTTTTAAGATTACCTAATTGTATTGTTTCAGAACAAGCAAGGAAATCCCATAATGTTCTCTCTCAATTGTTTCTACCTACCAGAAATTACTTTGCAAACAAAAAAGACTTTCAGCTAATAGAGGGTCAGGGCATTTAACTCTTACATGCTAGTGTGAAGTTACTACGTGTAATATACACCTCATTTAGCCCACAAGGAAGGAAATATACTTGTAACTTGCCCAAGGCTGCCCCCACACAAGATGCTCTAGAGAAAAGGCAAACTGCAGACTCACTAGTTGCTTGCTGTTTTTCAAAACAGTTGTTGGGTGAAATCACAAGAAATTTCCTTCCTGCTAAGCTGTATATCATGAACATTTTCTAATTAGGTATGCAAACGTGTGTATGTAATACATGTGCTAATTTCCTAAGTGAAATCCTGCAGAACATCTGACTCAAAGTGCACTTTGCATTATCAAACAGGAAGAACCAGAGGGAAGAAGGGGAATGCATGACAAAGTGTCTTTACTTTTACTTTTAAATGATTATCAGTACACCAAATAATAGCATGTTAACAAGTTCTTGAATTCTATCATCTAGTAATTTTGATTAAGAGAAACTAAGAGCAGCCTAAACAATTATACTAGTATTCATTGTTCTGATTCTTAGCAAGAATGGACTACTTTAAGGCTGGCTGCTGCTTCACACAGGTTACAAATAACTATTTATTACTTTTTCATAGATAAACCCGTGGCCTTCAAGAAAGTAGTAGGGAAAAAATTATTTAATCCCTTTCTTTCTTCAAAGGGTTCTTTTTTTTTTTTTTTTTTTTACTAGATCTAAGAAAGAAGTCAACGTTGATATATATGTTGTTTGAGCTAAAAAATATAGGAAAACAGACAATGTATACTCATTAAATTCTAACAAATATGAAGTACAAAGATCTTTGGATAAGTTCCAAGTGTGTACAAAGAAGCTAGATTTGCTACTCTCCAAAAAGTGAAGGGACCTACTATATAACATACAAAAATAATTTAACACCTTTTCTTAAGAATGTAACTTGAGCTTTGCTAAAGCTTCATATTCCATGAAGGCATCTAAAATGCCAATCCATGGAAAAGGTGCTTCTTTCTTCCTCTCCTATCCATTTGTGCGGTAGTTTTCATGGATTTCTGGCCGGATGTCACAGACAGAGGCCAAGAGGTTATCCAAGACTTCATCTCTGTTCTGCCAAAAATAGGTCTGGAGGTTGGTCATCTTCTCCTGGGTCTCTCCACTTCAGTGCTGCAACTGCCATGTGATTTGCAGCTTCCTTGGCCATGAACTCTCTCCCTCTGAAGGCAGTACTGTGCAATTTCAGCCTGAGCTGCTGCTTTGTCCTGCTTCAGCCTTCGGTTCTTTCGCTTACGGGCCTTGGGCACCTTCTCGGTGGCCCACTTCTCCGCCTGAAGCAGCTGCTGGATCCCTTGCGACTGACTGGTCATGGCTGCGGCGACTCTGAGGCCAAGGTGAGGGGCCTAAATCAGATCGACAGCTGTTCGGGTCGCCAGACCCCTCAAGTTCATTTTTGACTATTTCCTATTCCCTTCTCCCCTCACCTCTCCTCTGCAGTCCAGTCAGTCAACACGCCCTCTCTAGGCTCCCTAAGTTTTCTTTTTGCTTCACTCAGCCATTCCTTAACATTCCTAGATGCCCATGCCGTTCATCTTTCCTCTCTTTCACACCCTATGCATCATTGTGAGATTAATATTCATAAAACACTGCTTCGATCCAGATATATCTCTATTCAAAAATCTCAGTAGCCTTCTCTCAGTAGTATAATATCTTGCAGTCTATTTTAAGCTAGTTTTTTAGACTTATCTTTCAGCACTCCTCTGTAAGATCTGTCTACTTAACATAATGTTCTGTGCAGTTCCCTCAGACACACATTGCATTTGTTTTCCTTCCTTCTGCCATTGCCAATGTCATTTCCCTTTCCTGGAGTGCCTTGCTACCTTTTGTTTTTAACCTTTTTATTATGAAATATTAACACTTAGAGAAAATTACATGAAAGACAAATTTACAGCGTAATGAATTACTGTAAAGCAAGCACCACTGAGGACAAAAAATAGACCGTGCCAAGATCCAAAACCTTCTCTCCACCCCCATAACTCTCTTTCCCTTCTTTGCCTGTTTGTTTATTTTTTAACTTAATACAAATGCAGTCCTACAGTATATATTCATTTCTTTCTGACTTCTTTCATCCAACATTGTTGGTACCATTCATCTCTGTTGCAGTAGTTCAAATATCTTTACTGTTGTATAGTATTCCACTGTGTGAATATACACTATTTATCTGTAGTAATGTTGATGAACATTTGGGTTATTTCTAATTTGGGTCTTTTACAAAGCATGCTGATACGAATATTCTTGAACTTGTCTCCTGATACGTATGTGCACACATTTCTGTTAGATATATACCTGGGAGTGTGTCCTAGGATCAGTATATGTTCAACTTTAATAATGGCACTGTTTTCCATAGGGGTTATATCAATAAACCCTCCCAACAACAATATATAAAAGTTTTTCTACATTGCCACCATAACTTAAATTCTTTTTTAATTTTAGCCATTCTCATTGATGTGTAATATCTCATTGTGGTTTTAGTTTTCATGTCCTTGATCACTAATAGGTTGATTGGTTTGAACATCTTTTCATAAGTATATTGCTTATGTGGATTAGCCACCTTTGTGAAATGCCTGTTGAAGTCTCCTGCCCATTTTTCTACCAGGTTGGCTTTTTCTTGTTGATATATAGTAGTTTTATATATTTTGAGCATGAGCTCTTTGTAGGTTATATGTATTGCGTATGTTTTCTTCCACACTGTGGCTCGCCTTTTCACTCTCATAAAGTTCTTCATTTTAATGTAGTCCAAGTTTATAAAGATTTTCTTTTATGGTTAGCACTTTTTGTAGCTTGTTTTAAAAGTCTTTCTGGCCCAAGCTCATGAAGATATTCTTCTTTATTACCTTCTGAGAGAAATATTATTTTGCCTTTGATATTTGGGTCTTCAAACTACTTGGAATTAAATTTTTTTGTGTGGTGTAAGGTAGAATCATGTTTCATTTTTTTTTCCATATAGATATCAAATTGTCCCATCACTGTTCCTTGAAAAGATTTGTATTTTCCTCACTGCTCTGCAGTGCCACCTTTACCATAAGTTTAATATCCGTATGTGCATGGTTATATTATAGGGTTCTCCATTCAGTTCTTAGGTCTATTTGCCTATCCTTGAGTCAGTAAAACATATCTTGATTACTACAGCTTTAAAATAAATGTTGATATATGGTAGACTGTCTTGTTTTTCTTAAGTATCTGCTATTATTATTCTTTTGAATTTTCATATAATTTTAGAATTAGCTTGTCAAATCATACACACACACATACAAACTGTGGGGATTTTTTTTTTTCTAACCGACAAGGTGATCGCAACCCTTGGCACGGTGTTGCCTGCGCCACACTCAGCCAGTGAGCGCACCGGCCATCCCTATATAGGATCCGAACCCGTGGCCTCAGTGCTACCAGCGCAGCACTCTCCCGAGTGAGCCATGGGGCCGGCTCCAAATTGTGGGGATTTTTAATGGGACTTTACTAAATCTATAAATCTTTATAGTAGTGATTATTCTAATCCGTGGACATCGTGTCTCTCTCCATTTACTTAAATCTTCCTTGATTTGTCTTTGAAGTATTTTATATTAAATAAGTGTATTACAGTTTCTCCATAGAGATCTTGTATGTCTTTATTAGATTGCATCTTAAGTATTTTATATTGTTTGATGCTATTGTAAACAGCATCTTTAAAAATTTTCATTTTCTGTTGCTGGTATAGAAATGTTGATTTTTTGTATATTTCTTATTTTGTCTGCACCGACTAGAATCTCTCTTACATTGTTGAATAAAGGTATTAATAATAGGCTGTTCTTGTCTTATTTCCACTCTTAAAGGAAAAGTCCTTTTTATTTTTTTTAACATTTCACCACTAAGTATGATATTTGGTAATATTTGTTATAGTTTTCTTTAGATAGGTTTTATTATATTAAACAAGTTTTTTCCTATTCATGATTTGATAAGTGGTTTATAGTGTTGAATTATATCAAAGCTTTTTCTTTTTTATTAAAGCACCATTTATACTTTATTTAAGATGGATTTAAAAAAAAATACTTACTGGGATGTTTCGTAAAGTTGTAAATTTTATCTAACAAAGCTGGAATTCCAGTGAAGTACATAACACAGTCTTTCATGGTAACTTTATGTACAAGATAGAGAAATACAATCTAGACTAGAGCATGGGATTTTTAGAGCATAACCTATCCTATATGATTCTATAATGATGACTACATGACATTATACATTTGGCAAAACCCATAGAACTGTACAACACAAGAGGGAACTCTAATGTAAAATGTAGTTAAAAATAATATATCGGGCCGGCCCGTGGCTCACTCGGGAGAGTGCGGTGCTGATAACACCAAGGCCTCAGGTTTGGATCCCATATAGGGATGGCCGGTTAGCTCACTGGGTGAGCGTGGTGCTGACAACACCAAGTCAAGGGTTAAGATCCCTTTACCGGTCATCCTTTTAAAAAAAATAAAAAATAAAAAAATATATCAATACTGGTTCATAATTATAACAAGTGTACCACACTAATATAAGATGTTAATAATAGGAGAAACTGGAGGGGAGTAGTATGTGAACTGTGTACTTTCTGCTCAATTTTTCTGTAAACCTAAAACTTCTATAAAAATAAAGTCTATTTTTACTTTAAAAAAAAAAGGAGAGAGAGAAAACTAAAAGTTGAACAACTGTTTCTAGAAGGCTAATAATTAAGTCCGATTGGGGAAAGGACTTCAGTGGCTTGCCGGAAGGCCACATTCTGTTTAATATTGTTTCAAGGATAGAAATGAAAATAATGTAACAGTGACCATACATGCAGAAAAAAAGGAAATGGAAGAAATAACTGGTATACTAGGTGGCAGGACCCAGATCCCCAAAGATTTCAATAAACCAGAATGGCATACAGAATTTATTATATAAAGATAAAATTGATCAAGGACAAATATAAAGTCCTTCCCTTGGGTTCAACATTTAACTTCCCAAGAATGGAATAGGAAAGACATCATCACAAATAAGGATATGTGTGATAAATACTTTAGGTTTTAGATGTCTGTGAACCAGTTGTGAATTAAGTGGGAAGGGGGAGGGGAGGGGTTGGAAAGAAGGTACTGAATTCTTTTTTTTTTTTGGTCTTTTTTCGTGACCGGCAACGGATCGCAACCCTCAGTGTCGCGCCCGTACTGGACCGGGACCGGCAACGGGATCGCAACCCTTGGTGTTGCTCCTGCACCTCGCTCAGCCAGTGAGCTGCCGGTCTGTATGTGGGATCCGAACCCTCGGTGGGAGCGCTGCTGCGCTTCCCAAGCGGCGCACTGTAGCAGTGCGCCACCGGGCCGGCCCGAAGGTACTGAATTCTAATTCCAGCTCCACTCTTGACTGGCTTCTGTAATCAAGATTAAATTTCTTTACCTCTTTGAGCTTCAGTTTTCCCATTGTAAAATATGTAATATGTCATAGAGGTTCAGTAATTATAAAATGTATGTGCTTCCTGGTGTTGGTAGCTGCAGAAACACATAACATAAGCAATCTAATTCAGTCTTAAATTGTATTAAGAAAAACAAACCATTCAGTTCTGGAGATACTTTGTTTAAGGAGAGATTTTGATACTATATGATTCATTAAAAATAAGAAATGAGAGTAGAAGCTATTTTTTAAGTCTATTCTAGTAAGGTTCTGGTTTATAGTATAATCATATCTAATAGATTATTGAAGGTTTTAATTTAAAATTAGAAAATTTTAAATTCTTTTAAAGACAACCATGATTTCCTGACAGTGTTCCATGCTCTATTTCCAAGACTTTTCAGCAGCTTAAGCCCAGCACTCTAGGAAATCCCATCCCGAATATAGTGGGTGCTATTTTGACACCACTTGTTTTGCCTATTTGCCCTTACCTGACTTAGTTTTTAAAATTTGCTATTATAACTTTGCTCTAATGTTTACCTTGAGCTTCCTTTGTGTTTTCAAAAGGAAAAGAAAAGGAATAATCATTATACCAGGGCTACTTTTACAGGATAATTTTTCTTTTTTCTTTTTCTTAATAGTTTTTTTTAGTTGCAAATGACCGAAATTCGTTTTAGTTAGCTTAAGAAAAAAAGAGGATTATATTAAAAGAACATGGGAATGTCAATTGGTCATAGATTGTCAATTTGCTATTTGCTCACAGTTAGGAAGTCCATCAAAACCTTAGAAAAGTCTGTATGTAGGAACTGTAGTGTCCTCAAGAACCTGGCAATTTCTCTCTCCATATCTGTCATTCTCTATTTCACTGGTCATATAGTCTCATATATCTGCTATTTCACTGATCGTATAGTCTCATATATCTGCTTCTCTCTGCTATTTGCTGTGTGACTTTGGACAAGTCTTAATACATCTATTTCCCAGTCTGAAAAAAATGCTCCTCAACTTACAGTGCGGTTACATCCTGATAAACCCATACTAAGTCAAGAATGTGTTTAATACCCTGGTAAACCCATGGTAAAGTAAAAAAATTGTAAGTTGAACCATCATAAATTGGGAGCCATCTGTATTAATTTCTTGAACTGTTGTACCAAATTACCACAAACTGAGCACCTTAAAACTACAGAAATTTATTCTTTCACAGTTTTGGAAACCAGAAGTCCAGTCAGTATCACTGGGCAGAAATGAAGATATTGGTAGAGCTGCGCTCCCTTTGGAAGCTCTAAGGGAGAATCTATCCCTTGCCTTTTCCAGCTTCTGGTGACTGCCAGCATTTCTTGGCTTGTGGCCAGTTTCTGCCACAGTCTTCACATCACACTGTCCTCTATATGTGTGTGTGTCTTCTCTTCTGTTTTTGTCAAATCTCCCTCTGCCTATCTCTTGTAAAGACACTTATTATATTTAGGCCCCCTCCATATAATCCAGAATAAGCTCCCTAACTGGGGGAAAAAAACCCACGAAAATCTTTACTTGATCATATTTGCAAAGACCCTTTCTCCTTATAAGCTCCCCAACTGAAAAAAAAAAAAAAAATGAAAATCTTTAATCGTATCTGCAAAGACCCTTTTTCCTTATAAGGTAGAACTTACAGGTTCCAGGAATTAGAACCTGACACACAGACACACAGACACACAGACACACACACACACACACACACACACACACACACACACACATTATTAGTTTACTTCAGATGGCAATCATAAAGACTTATCTCAAAGTTGGCATATAATAAGGACTCCATACATGCAAGCCTCCTTCCTTCTCTGTATCCCACCTAGATATATCACCATGACCCTTCTTTAACATTTGCTCTCAAATGCTTTTCTTTTTAGGAATATCATTATCACATTATGTGTGGACTTGCTAGGATAATAATAATAGTGAAAATAATAGTTAACATTTATCAAATGTCTTTTGTAGCCCAGTCTCTGTGATGAGTACTTTATCCATGATATATAGATTTATTTATGTCCTAGCGAAGGGTTTGGACACAGAATACATATCTTTCTAGAATGTAAACATCACCAGGGACTTTTGTCCACTGCTCTATTCATGCCTTAGAACAGTGCCTGGAATAGAATAGTTGCTCAGTAAATATCTGCTAGATGGATGGCTTAGTTGGTCATGGTTAAAATTTCTTCATTTGTTTACTATTACAGCTATCATTTATTGGGTGTATACCATGTGCTAGGCACTTCCCATATATTGTCAGTAATCTTTACCACCTTCCTACAGGGTAGAACTGATGAGCTATGGATGCAGAAGGTAAGGGAGAGGGAGGAGTCACAGATATTTCTTAGGTTTTTGACTTGGATCTGGTCCAAGTGATGATGAAACCCAGGGGAAAAGTATGAGTTCTTTTTTTTAGATAGGCTGTGTTTGTGGTATCTGCAAGTAGATTGAGGGATCTCTTCCTGGGACAAAAGTTCCAGAGATGCCTCCTGTTTGGCAGTTAGCCTGGAGATGGTGGCGTTCTTGATCTACCCAGAGCAGGGGTGCCATTATTTCTACTGTGCTCTAACTTGAACTTGTTCAGTTTCTGTTCCAGATGATCGGGCTGAACAACGAACCTGTCTCATTTGTGGGGACCGCGCTACAGGCTTGCACTATGGGATCATCTCCTGTGAGGGCTGCAAAGGGTTTTTCAAGCGGAGCATTTGCAACAAACGGGTATATCGGTGCAGTCGTGACAAGAACTGTGTCATGTCTCGAAAGCAGAGGAACAGGTGCCAGTACTGCCGCCTACTCAAATGCCTCCAGATGGGCATGAACCGGAAGGGTGAGTGGTGCTCATGGCTCTCACTGCCCACCCTTCACCCATCACTTTACCTTTAGTGTCACCTATTATACTTTGGAGTTATTCATTTCCCAAGCCTGCACTATATGCCAGGCCTTATAGTGTGTACTAATAACCCCAAAATGAATCCGGCGCAGTTCTTGCCTACAGGAACCTCACATGAGAAAGACTGGTGAGATGTTAAGGATTCTATGGGAATGAATGCATAGGCTTCATGTGGCAGCACCCCAGTTAACAATCAGGTCCCAGCTGGGTTTAATACACTTCACTAGTTCTTTCAGGGGATAATGACAGGAAGCAGGACTTTGGATGGAAAGGCAGGAGGTCCCCTGAGTGTGGTATCATTTTGTTTGCTAGAACCATGGCATACTCAGAAGCTAGGTATGCTCAGAAGTTTGTGTCCAGGTTGGTGGTGAGTTTGGTATTTATTGGGAAGCTTTCCAAGAGCCATCCCCCTGAAATGACATGAATAAAGCAATATTCTAATAGGATTAATATGAAGGGCAGCTTTGAAGGATGGATTGGGGTAGGTGAAGCAGAAAAGTTAACTAAAAGGTTTTTAGAGGAGTCCAGAAGAAAGATGCTAAAGATCTGACGGAGGGTTGGGGGACTGGCACAGGTGGGGAGGTGTTGTGGAAGAAGCTCCCCTGACAGGAGTTGGTGACATACTGAGTATTGGGCAGCACCAGAAATTGAAGCTGAGAGAATTTGGATTAAGAGTAATGTCTCTTGGGCCAGCCCGGTGGCGCACTGGAGAGTGCGCCGCTTGGGAGTGCAGCAGCGCTCCCGCCGAGGGTTCAGATCCCATGTGGAGACCGTTTCCGCTCACTGGCTGAGCGCGGTGCGGGCGCAGCACCGAGGGTTGCAATCCCATTA